ATTAGAAGCTATCTCCACATAAAACACCAACACTAATGATAAGCACATGGTCTACAAGGCATCAACTGTCAATGCTCCGCACTATATAATTCGAGGACAGCCTGTTAACTAAAAAGCAATCGTGGTTAGTGCACGCCGCATCCCACAAAAACTACACCTTCCCAGGGGGTTACCTCTATACATTCGCGTCTTTGATTCGGTGATTGGCAAGGCGGGTATTTGCCTTAACGGTCTACTGTTCATTTTTTTTAATGAGATCAAGTTTATTTTGAAAAAAACTTACGGTCGTGTTGCTTCTCCTTCAGAACTAAAAGGAAAAAACAAAGACCAGGGTTTGATTTGGGACATTTCAGTGCTTCTGTACAATAAACTGGCTGAATGCATTAACAGTACATGTTTCGACAGACTAAAAGTAAGAGGGTTTACCAGTAACCTAAAAATTAGTAAACGGTTCACGGGACTGAGCACTGTTTTACATCGCAATTAAAAGTGGTGTCAGTGGTGTCTCAACTGAACCTGCGCCAGACAGTTTTCACTGCTGCAACTGAGCTGGAATCTCTTCAACGCCGCTAGGTGATTTAGAAGCGCCTCGTATCCTACGTGGGATGAGGCTGGACTTGCTCTACTACAAACTTACGTTTCGAAGCATTGGAAAGACGCCTGGGTAGGGGATCAAGTCTCAGTTTAGAATACCATGGACAATGTAGTAAAAAATATATCCGATTTTCATTTTGCAAAATATGTGTTCTTTGCTTTAGGGTTCTTTTTTCAGACCCCATGAGTGACAAATTGGCTGCTGACTTCACAGCGTCTGAGCAACGGCAAGAACGTAATACAATAAATTGCCGAAAAAGACTAGGGAGATGGTTCTTGTCGGCGATGTTCGTCTGCATACACTACCAGCCGCTGTGCGACTGCTGGTGGTACCCGAGATTGAGCCTCAAGGCAAAGCGGGATGAGTGAGTTCAGTTAGCAATCGCTGAACTGTCATGAACGACTGAACATAATGCATGATGATGATGATGATGATGATGATGATGATGATGATGATGATGATGATGCTGAGGATGATGATGGTGAGGATGATGATGATGATGGTGGTGTTGATTATATTTATGATCGTAATACACACGAACACGTACACACGCACATACAAACACAAGGGCGCTGCATGCACCCTTCTCACAGACGGGCATATGTGCAAATATCGACTTACTGTCTTCGTAGGCCTTCTTCAGGTCTTCAATTTCCTTATTGTCGCACGCGCAGATGGTCTGCACAACAACGCGATCCTTGGTGCCGGCTCCCGCCATGGCATTGAAGAGCGCTAGAGCGTTGATGTGGGCCTTGTCTCGGAAAGACATCAGCACAACCTTCCGGAATTCACCACCCAACTCGCTGTGCAACTTGGTATAGATATCCTATAAGTGTCATAAGGAGAGGAATATATATATTTTTAAAACGCTTGTTGGGCCACTCATCTTATCCTAGACATCGAACATTTGATCGCAGAATGAGCAAACGCATTTTCTTACGCAAGAAACTCCTGGCAGGTTGTATGGGTTAATGAAACTAATCTTCTGGCTGAAATTTGCGCTATACTGCAGTACTGTTCGAGCTTACGGACGGTTTGAAGTTTTGTTGTTGCCCTTCCCCTGGTGGTTCGAGACTTATTGGCCTATTGATAGTGGAACACGACCTTCAGATGACTTGGGAAAATGCTGGGTCAGCTGATTTGGCCTCCCCTAACCTCACAGCATCGATGTTTATCCGCGTCAAGGGGGGTATGGGGGTTACTCCCGCATTTGTGTGTTACCCTAATGCGAGCCCTACGTTATATGTGTCCGACCAGCACGAGGGTTGCCAGGGCGACTAGGTCAGGGCACGGCAGGCGGTGTTGGAGGTGCGTACGAAAACCAAAGGCCACGCATAGGGGGGAGGGGAGTTGGTGACAAGCC